ACGTGCAGCCGGCTTCTCTTTTGATAATGGAGGATAATGGATAATGGAGTTTTGATAATTCCAGGATCTCAGGGAGCACTAATCAGAACAGGAATAAATTCCTGCCCTGGGAGCTGGGGCTCTGGAGTCATCCACCCAGATAGTAATATCATGATTCACTCATCACCTGTCCTCTCCAAGGCCTCAGATCTGCTGTTTGCTGAATGTGCCCATGCAGAGCCCAGTGGGAAGGCAACAAGCTGCAAAACTGGGCACAGAATACTACAAAGAATTCCCATGTGCTCTGCTCTAGTCAATGAATATTATATATACAATTAATTCAATTAGGAGTCCTATTGTGTAATCAATTATTGTTGTTGCAGTGCCTTTAATCTCAAAGTGTTTCTCAAACTATGTACTTAGAGCACCACTGAAATGCAACCTCCTCTGGGGCAGACATGCACAAGCAACGCTTGCCCCGTACAACACTGCTGAGGGGGTGGGGCATTTTCGGCCAAAGATATCTATCTGAGCAAATGCCATTCCCCCGAGAAATGCCATCAGATCTTTAGTGTCCACACAGAGCAGAGAGGGTCTCATAAGAGAACACCACACCCCACCCCACCACCTTGCCCGGAGTTGAGACCTTCCTCTACCAAGCCAGTCACTCGGGAGAAAGAGTCACCATTCCTATATCCTGGGCTACTGCTTCATCCAACTCATTGAGAGCCACACCCATCCTGCTGTAAGGAGGGAGAGGGCATCTGACCTGGTCTACATATAGTTTTTGTATCAGTATAACTATTTCAGTTAGGAGTGTGACTTTTTACTGAAATAATTACACTGGAGTGTGATTACACTGGAGCTACTGTTAAAGCAGTACAATTTTGGGGTGAAGACAGCAGCAAGAGATGACAACACAGCTCCACAACTGGACCTTGGTGGCAGATGAGAACCCACCATTGCCATATCTGTCCGCTTCTCATTCCAGCAGAGACTGAGGCTGTCCCTCATGACAGCCCCATTTCCCTTGGCCTCAGGCCTCCTGCATGGCAGTGCAGAGTTCTCTCTATCCGCTAGATCATTTCTCTCAAACATGTTGGAGGGGGTTGTTGTCATAAAATAGGAAGTGCAGTATTTAGATCACAGCCAAAGTGAGACACGGAGCATGTCTCATTTTGGCTTCTATTTTATTTAAGTTCTTATACCACCCCCACCCCCATGGCATCTGGATAGATGAACGAAAAAGATCTTCAGTGCTGGTGGATCACATTCTAGCAGGGACATATTTCCAAGTTGAGGGGCTGGTAAAAGCACTCAGATTCATATGATTTGTAAAAAATCCCTTTTCAAAAGGACACCTCCAAAAGTCTCTTGACTATGAAGTGTTTGGTACCTGAATTTTAACCCGGAACAATTGGATGGAAGTTAGCGGGAATTTGTGGGTGCTGATCACCGGCTCGATTGGACATTATTGGTCTGATTTTCAAATGCGATCCCCAGCAGCTCTCACAGAGATGGATGATTGCAGCTGAGTGCTGGGCAGTTTTGAAAATAAAGCTGTGTACCGATTACCAGAAGCAACTTCTGAATCAGAATCTTCCCTTGCTGAGGTATTTATTCTGTACTGTGTCGTATTCAAAGTCAGGGGCCACGCCATGCTAATATGACACTAACTGCCACTATTTCAGGATGCAATACCATTTCTGTCTAAACCCAAAGTTTTCAAAGTGCTCTAATTTTTTTGTCGATTTTTAAATTAGTTTTTAATTTGTCTGGCATTTACTGCTCTCTCAGCTTCTGTATTACCCATCTGGCCCTATCAAAACATTCAGTGAAGACCATTTTAAAAAGACTAGCAGAAGAATGATTCCAGTGATATGTCTACGTGCTCCCAAATTGGTGCAGATTATATTATTAGTGTGTAAATGAAGATTTTTAATATCACCAAACCCCAGTACTGGGTGGTAAGGGAGGGGGGAGGCATCCTAAAAATCTGTACTCAGATATGTAGAATTTATACACAGCTTGATCTTTCTTCCACTGCAATAAAGGGCAAAATTCCAACTGATTTTTATAGAGCAGGATCAGGCCACAAGCTGTCTGTTCTGGCCCAGATCTGTACAGCCCTACAAATCCACAGATATTCGCTCTATAGCCAGATGCAGATATCTGTGGGCCGTGGATCAGATGTGGATACAAATACAGATCTTCCCCTTTTGCTAATGTTGATAGTACCTTACTGAGCTACAAGCCCCAGGAGAATTTGAAAGCCCACAATGCGTCCCAGCTGTATTACTACTCGAGGAGTAAATAAGGCAGTACTCAGTCTAGGAAGGTTCCTGGATTCGACCTTCCACTGTCATCTTAGTCAACTCTGAACCAGATCCAAACCAACCATGGTAGATGCAGACATCTAATGCACAAATGGAAAATCAAGGATTCCCCAGCGCGCGAGTGTGACTCCCCGCCACAGACCATCGAACATACCCTGATGTAGCCATATGGCTTGATCAACTTCCGGGGAAATTGTAGATGCTGCTCTACACCAGCCAGAGGAAAGAAGAAGTAAGGAAGACAGAACTGGACCCCTCGTAAGGGCAATTTAAGTGATGGGCTCGTCTACATGGGGAAATTTACCAGATCTGGTCCATAGCTCACTCTGGGTAGATTCCTGTGAAGCCAATGCCCGTAGGAGCTGCTCCTCTGATACATATTTTTGAATAGGAGTCCCCTTTGAGTCTGATACTGTTGCATCCTTGGGGCTTTGGGGTCCTCACACCTGATGATGATAACCCCCATCTGAGGGACAGTGAAATGTAGCTGGTGGCCTTCCAGGTCAAATCTGGCTTTCCCCATGTCCACTGAAGCCACCCACCTAACTGCAATTGGGCTCTGGGATCTGGGGAGGATCTGGGGAGCAGGATTTGACCCAAAGGCAGAGCAGAGGAGGATAAAGCCCAGGCCTGGCTGGACTTGCGGAGCATTCAGGCGGGGGCCAAGCCACTCACACCCTGCCCCTTTCCAGCCTGGATTTCCCACTCGTGCCAGAACCCTCCCGGGTTGGCGATGGAGGTGGGAGAAGGCCCCCGTGCCGCAGGCTGGGGAGGTCGGCCGGCAGGAGCTGGCCGGCCCAGTCCCCTTCGCAGCCTAGGGCCGGGTGGGGGGAGCGGGGAGATGTCTCTGGGGCGAGGCCCTGCCCCGCACCGACCCCTCGGCTCGGCTTGGAACATCAAAGCGCCCCGCCAGCCCCAGAGCAGGGGCGACAAAGGCCGAGGACAATGGGGCTGCTGGGCGCCCCGCGCCTTCCTGCAACCCGGAGTCACTCCGGATCTGCATGACAAAGGGCAGCGCTTGTAAATGTGGGCTGCCCCCGCTTCCAGCCCCCCTGCCTTAAACAACCGCGCTGCCTTTGAACTGGGCAGCCGGGCGGGCGCGGAGCGTGTTCATTTGGGTTTGCCTGGGGAGAGACTTCCACCTCCCCCCGCCGGCCCCCAGCCTCCAAGGGGTCAGCAGTTCAGCTGCGGCCCGGAGCTGCGGGAGAGGCAGCGAGGTGCCGCCTCGAACCGTGCGCCGCGGGGCCCGGGGCGCAGCCCAGACTGGGTCGGGGAGAGCAAGTCTGGAAGGGGGAGCTGGACACACACACACACACACACAGCCCTGCACACCTCACACAAACCTCCCCTCACACACAAAAGCCCACAACCCCTACACACACTGCTGTCTCACACACAACCCCCACCCTTACACCCCCTACACGCACCTCCCACACCCCAACTCCCCTACACCCCCCTTCTCACAAACACACTCGCACAACCCCTCAGCTCTCCAGCCCTCATCTCACCCACACACAGCGCAACAAGAGAGGTGGGGGTGGGGGGAGCGCTGTCTAAACTCAGAGCAGGTCACCCCAGGGACTTGCTGGGCTCTGTCCGGGATCTCCCCCGGAAAGGCTCTGAACGATCAGAAACTCTCTTCCCTCCTGCCATTTCTCTTGGGGATGTGCGCTCCCAGCTCTCCAGCCCCTGCCCTGTTCCCGGGGGCCTTGGGAGGGGCACCCAGCCTGTGGGAGGGATGAGCTCTTGGCATGTCTTAACTACTCCCGAAATGACAAAACTAGAAGCCGCTGGGCCGCCTGAGCTCGAAGCTCGCCAGTTGATAACCCCTGGCTCCCAATAACAGAGGAAAGGAGGGGAAGTGCGCTGTCTGGAGCTGATCCTGCATCCCCTGCACACCCCGTACTCAAGAGGATTGGGGCCCTCAGAGTAGAGCTTCCCAGGCTGGGAAAAGCCGGCCTAGCACCAGCATTGCATTGCTGGTTTGACGAGAAACGGGTAAAACACGCAGGCCCTGGAAAATTGCGCCCTGAATCGGCCCGTCTCCGAGGCCCATTGGGCCGTGGACCAGGCCCTGGGTGTTTAACAGAATGGTGTCACCTGAATTTGGAGCTAAACTCTCCAAACTCGTTGGATTCCAGTCCAGGCGGGGCCGGGGGTTGACGAGAGAGGTTTGTGCAATACATGCAATAGGTTTCCCCTTAGCTGCCTCACTGGGGATGGCGATATTGACCTGTTGGGACTGTCACTAGCACAGAGCGAGGACAAAGCAGTTTTATGCAGCTTTACTGGGCAGGGGGAAATGCGCGTTGGCGCAGGGCCCATATCGGCCAGCTCTGGGGAAACGCTTGTTAAAGGCCCCCCGGGAAGCTGAGGCGTTGCAAGCAAAGTCTCCGAGATCCCCCGAAGTTCAGACGGACAAAACCACCGATAGGAACCGTGTGCAAATACATATAAACGTAATTTACAACCCCTGCGCTCTCCGAAATACCCTGGCACGCTAAGGTGTCATTGGCCGGAGCTCGGTAGGGTAATGCGCAATTGAAAACTCAGCTTCCCCCATGCCGAATGCTGCCCTCCCTTCCTGGCATTGTTGGGGTGCAGGGTTGCGCCCCAGCTACGACCTAAGCAAAGACACCCCCGAGAGGCGGGGGGGGAGGTAAGAAAGTGGGGGGGGTTCCTTACCACTGCTGCTGCTGGTTGGAACGCTGCGCCTCATCCACTCATAGGGGGTGCGCCTTTGCGCATTGGGGGAGAGCTGGGCCACTGAGCTGTTGATGGGTGGAGGTAGGAGTCCAGAGCCTGGAGGCTGAATTGGATTAAAATCGGTGGGGCTGAATCCAAGCTGCCCCGGGTTAGCGACGGAAGAAGCGGCTCCAGGCCCGTACGAATGCCAGTCCTCCTTGGTGGGTGTGTATGGCGAGCCCCAGGCGCCCGCAGGTTGCCCATGGTGTGGGTCACTGTTAATCCCTGGCACGTGGTGGTAGCTGGCAAAATCCGAATACTGAGGGGGCGCAGGCACGTAGTTCTGGGGGTTGAGGTTCAGGCTGGGGTGCCTGACCGGGTTAGGGTACATGTTAGTGTCCTTATCCAAAAGATAGCCCACATACATCATCCCCGGATGGCCCTGCGCGCATAATGTGCCTCTGCCGCTCTGTAGGCTTGGCCTGAGCTCCCCGTAACTCCGCTCCCACTCCTTCCTGATAAGCTGTTCACCTGAACTTCTTGGGCAGCTTTCTCCCACTTCGCAAAGGCACCTCCCTGACGAAAGGCTTTTATTGGGCCAACCTCTCGGAGCATTTGCATTGAAAGGCAGGTTTGCATTTCAAAGTGCAGGAATCAAAGGGGCAGGCAGTGGGGCGAATTCAAACGGTACAAATTGCTTGCCAGAGAGAAGGAGAAAAAAGGAAGACCCACGAGGTGGATACGTTTGAGGTGGACGGGGAAAGGGCGAGCGGCTCCAGGAAATCCACAGACCTCCGGGCTCAAGGAGATCAGTCCATGACCAGCTCAAGAGAGCGCACTGCTGAAGCCGGGAGAACATTTAAAGTCTTCCCAGCCCGTGCGCACGTGCGAGCACCCCCATTATGGCAAGGGAGCCGAGTCCCTTTTTGGTGGCACCAGCACTATTAGGGCCTGCTCCAAAGCCTAATGAAACCAATGGAGTCTTCCTACTGGGTCCAGGGAGCTCTGGGTCGGGAGCCCTTAATGCTCCCCTGCTCCGGGGTTATGTCAGCACCTTTCCAAATCATACACACGCCCAGATGTGGGTTTATTTCCCTTGCGAACGACCCGGCACTGACTCTGGGTCCGTGTAACTTCGGAGCTCCTGGGGAAACGTTGGGGCTTCTGCCAAGAGTCTGATTTTCCACCGACTTGCTGGGGCTCCAGTCAGGCGCCAGGATGGCTTGGCTGCGGACCCAGAGAAAGGCGCACCAGAGATGGACGTTTATAAGAACACAAAGTATAAAATACCAGACTGTTGTGCCCCTAAAAGGACCAAACGGTCACCATTTTAAACCCACACCTTACAAAGCCCGGGTCTAATCGCAGTTAGGATCCCAGTTTATTTTTACCCACCAAAAATCCCCCCGTTTCTGGCCTTTTTTTTTCATCGCCTTAGATTGTCACGTTTCCTCCCCAACACACCAATGGCTGTAAGTGTATTTAGAAGGGCGTTGGCCTTCCCAGCGCCAAACTACGGCCTCCAGTTATTGGAAACCCTCTTTTCCCGACTCGGGCACCCCAGGCTGCCGGTGCAGGGCCTGGCTCTGCCCCCCAGGGATATTGGAGGGCGAACACTAGTTGGCTGGTGGGGAGGCTCTAGCCATGGGCTCTGACCGTAACTTGGCGGATGGAGGGAGAGATCAGATTCATCTCCATGAGTGAGAGGGGAATATTGGTCCCCCCAGCCAGGGACGCTGCTGGACACGGTGCGCTCAGCCGGTTCACCCCCTCCGGTGCTGCTGGGACACCTTCCCGAAGGGGCTTTCCATTGCCTGTGTCACCCCTGGCCCAGCCCCTCCAGCCATGTGCCCGAAACTTGCGCCTGGGAGCCCCCTGAGCCTGGCAGTCTCCCCCCCCCCCACCCCCCTCTTTCCTCTTGCTGGGGCAGCTCACAGCTCAGCTTCCCAGCCTGGCTCTGGTGCCGGGGGAGGGAGGACGGGGGCCCCTGGCCCCGCTGCCTAGTTCCACCCCTCCTCTCCCCTGGGCAGAGAGCCACCGCCCAACGCCCCCTTCGTGCGCTTGGCCAGGGGCCGGGCAAGCCAAGTCCCCCGGGTGCTGAAGTCTCTGCAGTGTATGTTGGTGATAAGAAAGGCCCCGGCTCCGCTCAGGCCCTGCCCCAGCCTGAACCCTAGGGTGGGTCGCCAGGGGATCATGCGCAAAGCTCATCCCCAGAAGGGGGGTCTCCCAAACACAGCCCCGGCCTGCAAACCGCAGCTGGGCTCCGGCTCCAGGGCGCTCCAGCCCCGGGCAATCTCCGGACGGAGCCCGATCCCCTCAGCACTGACCGCGGCAACAACCCCCCCATTCGCTTTAGTGGGAGAGCAGCCCCTGCTCCCCCAGCCTCGTCGGGTGGACTGGAGTCCCTGTGAACCGGAGTCCTTGGGCTGAGGGTGGGGGGCTCTGGCTGGCCCCTCAACAAAGGCTCAAAGTGCGGCGGAGACCGGGAGAAGGAAAGAAGCCAGGATTCTCAGGGCGGTTGTCAGAATGAATTAAACACGGTGCCCCAGAAGCACATGGAAGCTCTGTCCGTCGTGTAACTTCTCTATCCAGGGAGTTTTAAAGACCGAAGGGACCATCATCATCTACTCTGACCTCCTGCACAGCCCGGAACCTCACCCAATACATCCCAAACTATATAGCGGGCTGTACATTTCATGTTAGGTCAGGGGTGTGCTTACAAAGCAATCATCTAGATACTGGCCATTGGCTATTTTGGAAAACAAAGTCAGCATCCCTTATATGCCTTGTTCCTTTCTGCCTTTATTTTCTTTAACCATTTGAACTCCTCTTGGGATTCAGAGGTTTCATGTAAGCACCTATAGAAGCCTTGTGACTTAACCTCTCAGCCTCCAAGCATAAACACTATGTCCAGTTTCAGCACTTGTTTTGTATCTGGCCATCCCATTTTTTAAAAAATGCCCTGGCAGCTGGAATTTGACCCTCACTATCTTGTGTCTCAGAATGAATTTTTCCGCCAAGGTGACGAAGAAATGTTTTCTCAGCCTTTTTTTTTTTAGTTTAAAAAGTTTGTGTTGCTTTGTAAAACAGAAATAAAAAAGAAAATAGGAACTATTATATTATATTATATTATATTATATTATATTATATTATATTATATTATATTATATTATATTATAT